TCGCACCGATACGGGACGCCCCACGAGTGCGAGAGAGACAGAGCGACGAAAACGACCCCGCCGGCTGGGGTTTGGCGTCGCACAGCGTGGCGGCGCTGGGTCGAGTGGGGGTCGCCGTGGAAGTGGGTGAAGTGGGCTGCGAATTGGGACGAGCCGAGCCGCGACGACTGCCTCCCGATGCCACGAGCCGTCTCTCTCGCACCCTGTGTTCGGGGCGCGGCGCCCCACGAGTGCGACAGGACGGAGACACGAAACCGGCTGTAGCTGCTTGGCTGTTCGTGTCGAGTGGCAGCCATTGACCCGGCGGCTCGTCTCTCACGCACGTCGGTGGGGGTGGCACTGCGAGGCGGGGAGTTGCAGGGCGAAACATTGAGAGCACCCATTTAGCGACTCTAGAGCTCAAAACGCGTCTGGAGCTTTGTCCGCCTCCCCGGTCCTCTGGCCCACTGTGCGGCGTGGCCGTGGCGTGGAGGCGCTGCCCGCTGAGCTGGCCGTCGTTGCGCCCCGCGTCTGGTCCCGGAGCAGCTGAGCAGCGCGGCGGCGGGGCCGGCCGGCCTCCTTAAAGGGGCGCTGCCCTTCGAGCCGAGCGCGCCGCGGTGCGTGGCGGTGCGTCCCGGGCCTCCCGGCGCGGGAAGCTCTCGCAGGTACGGGCCTCCGCCGCCTCCCTGGCCGCGCTGCTGCAGCCCGTGCGGAGCCCAGCGCCGCCCCGCCGCCGCCCCCGCCGCGTCGAGACATCCGCTTTAAGGGGGCGGCAGGGGGCAGCGTTCCGTTCGGCAGTTTGTCGCCCCCTGTGCACCCCCCTCACTGGCGCAGGCTTCCCGAGGCGGCCCCTAGATGGCGCCAGGCGCGCGGCCACGCGAAGTGCCCGGCCCACTTCTCTGCAGGCACGCCGATTAGTCGGCCGTTGATGATTTCGAAACGGACTATTGGTGTGTCGGCGCGAGCGGCCGGAAAAGAAAATGTACAACAATAAAACAAAACAGTCTGCGGGGAGAACAATCGACGCCTCGGTAATTCCGTCGGCCGCTCTTCGTTTCTCAATCCCACTCTCTGGAAGCCTCTTGCTCCGGGGGAAAGCCGGGGGAAAACAGGTGTTTAGCAGTGTCCGAGGCGAGGGGTCGAAAGGCGAGTAACATTAAAGACCCTCTTGCCGCCTCCTTGCCCGTTGTTCCATTCCCTCCTTCCCCCTCTCCCACCCCCTTTTTTGTAGTCTCGCCCGGGCCCCTTTGAACAGCGTCAGGTGCGGTACATATTCTCTCTTTCTTTCATTGCCCGCGCCGCTTTACCTTTTATTTTACAAAGTCGATAAAATCAGTGCCGGTGGCGAAACAGCGGAAACGTGCTCGCAATCTGGTCGTATTCCTTCAAGCCCCGCGCCTTGCTCCCTTCCTGACAATGCCGCTCTCTCTCTCTCTCTCTCTCTCTCTCTCTCTCTCTCTCTCTCTCTCTCTCTCTCTCTCTCTCTCTCTCTCTCTCTCTCTCTCTCTCTCTCTCTCTCTCTCTCTCTCCCATGCATGCCCTCCACTCCTAGTTCCTCCTCCTTGTGTCTTCCTATTTATTCTCGCCTTCCCGCCCTCTTTCCCTCGTCCCCGCAATTTCAATGCCTCGCGCGGACGCCCTCTCGAGTCCGCCAGCCGAACGACTTCCCCTCACCTGTCCACGTGTGTGTGTGTGTGTGTGTGTGTGCGTGCGTGTCGGTGTGTGAGTGACAGTTTGGAGCACCCCAACACCTTTCCCATTCCGGCCGCGCCTGTTGACGTGGGTCGGCGAGACGGCCGAAACGCGGCCGCCATTTTGGATTGGCCGTTACAAGGTTACGTGACGCCGACGCCGCGATTTTCGCGTAAACGCGCCGAATGGCAAACAGGGAGGGGCAGTGCCTCGCCCTCAGCTCGCTTCGTCGTCGTGTTTTGTTTTTCGTTTTCGCTCCTCCTCCCCCGATCCTTGTGCCCTGGGTTCTTCAGGGTTTTACGGGGTAGTTTTGCTTAACGCGCGTGCCGAGACGTTGCACCCCTCAGGTTAGACAGTGCTTTATTTGGCACTAAATTTGCCGATTGTCAACATTTTTTGGCGCGTAAGTTGGCAGCGCCACTTGCGATGCCGCTGCGCCGCGGATCGGAAGCGTTCGGTGATTGACAGCTCGCCTGCGGCCTTTTGCATTTTTTTCTCCCTTTTTATTATTTTTTTTGTGGCAGGAAAAAATTTAATTTTCTGCCGACATCCTGGCACGGATCTGAATAACACTCTTTTCCTCTAGATCTATGTTTTCCCCTCCGCGCCTTCCCCCGCTGCCTCGCGTCATGTTTTTCTTTGAGAGTGGCGGAGCGTGGTGCGGCCGCCCCACGCCGGCCGAGCCGCCCCGACAGGGCTGGCAGCCGCTGGCAGACGAGCTCCAATCAAAGCGAGTAATGCGATTGTGCTAAGCGGCCAGCCAGCCAGCCGGCTGACTGACCGGCTCAGCCCTGCGAAAGACTCGTGTTCTTCTTCATGCCAAACAAAAACCAAAATTAAATTTGGCTTGCGTTTTGCGACGGGCTTCGCGCGTGCCTCTGCCGCGGAACTGCCGGGGTAAAATGCGATTTGCGGAAGAAAATATAAAAAAGAGTGCAAAAGGCAGTGACTTTGCTGCAACGAGGGTCCCTCCCTTTGTGACGAGGCCCTCGCTCACCTGCTGCCAGCTTGCTGCCAGGCTGTGGCGGCCCGGGCCTGGGCCGGGCTTGGCCTGCCGAGGCTTTACATGGCTTCCTCCTTAACGCTTAGCGAGGAACAGACTCGATTTTGCCGGCAGTCGGTGCCTTTTTTTTCGACCTCCGTCTTTCAAACCGCCGGCTCTTCTTGTTGTCGAGCGGAGCGCGCGGCTCAGGGCGAAGCAGTGCACGGGCTGCCACCTCCAGTCTGCGCCGCCAGCAAGGCCCCCTTGCGAGGCCCCAGCGAGGCCGCCAGCAGTGTGGACACATTCCCCTTTGTCCGGCCGCAGAGAGCCAGACCTGTTTGGCGGACACGGAGCTCTTTAGTCCTCAAACAGGACTCAAACCAAACACAGTACCAATGGACTGCCATCCGAACGGACCCAGGAAAAGAGTTTCTTAATTCTTTTTCATTTTCTTGCTTTCATCTCAAAAAATCTTGCTTCTAAGAAAATTTAACATTCAAGAAAAAGAAGGTTGGGATCAAAACTAGTTGCTTAAAAAATTGCAAAGAAAAACCAAAACAAGAGTTAATGTATTTGACCGTAGATGTCATAGTTTTGGGTTATCTATTGGTACCGGTTTGAGCGCAAAACGAGGACGTTGAATTTGAGAAAGTGGTCCGACAGTGCTGCCAACGGCTCGGTGAGAGGCTCGCTGCCAACCTTCCGCGACCACGGCGTGTGGTAATTGGTGGCGTCGAGACCTCGGTCTAGACAGGGCCGCCCTGCCCGTCCCAAAACGGCAGCCTGTTTTTTCGTCCTGCTCGTCTCGACGCGAGGGAGCGGCAGCGGAAGAAGAATGGCAGAAGCGCAGCAAAAAAGAGAAGAAAAATTTAAGAAGTGAGGCCGGAGAAATATGGTGTTCCCTAGTTTCCAGATTGCGCGGTGTAACGAACTGGTGCGCGCTGGTGCCGCCGAGCCAGCGCCGCCAGCGCGCCCCGGAGTCCCGGATTCGTCAAATCACCAGCAGCGCGACGACGACGACGTCGAGGTTGATGATAATGATGATGACGATGACTGTTGGGGCGAGGAGGGGAGGCAGGGAGCAGGGTGGCGGCCCTGCAAATTAAAATCGGCGCCGCCCGAAGATTTCGTCAATATTTCTTTGGCTTGCCTCGTCGTGATTCCACCCGGTGGAAACCACAACACGGCAAGGCGGGGGGAGGGTGTCGAGCAGAGTCACCTCGCCAGCCGACACACAGTGGGCCAGAAGACTGGCTCAGGCGATCAAAACTCTAGAGACGTAATTGAGCCCCAGGGTCACTAAATGGGCCTCAAACCGATCGTGTGACCCCACCAATGGATTCCTCGTTCGGAGAGCAATCCATTGGTGGGGTCACTTGTTTTATTCGAGTGTCATTTCGCGACTCTGGAACTCAAAATGCATCCGTTGTTTCGACCGCCTCCACCGGCCTTCCGGCCCACTGTGCGGGGATGACGCCGCGCTCTGCATGCTGTGCACTAACTTGGTTTGAAATGCCTGAAATAACAGTAGACGGTGACGCCGTGACGTCTCGAAGGCTAGCCCCGCCAGCACTGCCAGCGCGGCCATGATGGAACAATAACACTGATATCTGCGGAGGGGGTTTATTCTAGCGGAGTGCCTTCTGGACAGGTTGACGGTGGCGGACCGCCATCCTTTTATTTTGTTTTTTATGGAAACGCCTCGCTTATTCCTTGTCGCTCCGGCTGTCAGTTAGCGGCGCGCGATCTACTTTTCGAACGGGAATTATGAACACCGCGAGGGCAGCACTTTTCCCCTCTCTTTTCTTTTCATTTGGAAGAGTTGCACTCGCAGTACTTTGGTGCGGTCCAATTCCGGCGCGCTTTTGTTCGACCGACACTCCGTTCCGTCTGCCTGTTGTGTATGGAATATAAAAAGAAGCCGGGCCTGCGCGCCAGTTTGAAGGAACTCGTCGACGCCGCCGCCGCACACACATTCACACAGACGAAGGAACGCAAACATAAACCCACACACACACACGCACACACTTGCACAGGGGCGCACGCACACAATGAAACGCGAATTAGGCCGACTACGGCGGATATACAATGTTGCCTGAGTGCGGGGCTGCGGGGCTGCGGGGCCCAGCCGGGCCGGGGGAAGCGGAGCTAGCGAAGCTGCCGAGGCTGCTCGGCGCCAAAGGGTCGGGTCACTAAAACTTTGTCATTGTGTGTCGGCCGTGTTTGCGGAACGAGGCATTCTTCGCGGCGGGGCTGCCTCGCCCTGCAGGGCCTGCAGGGTGTCGCCGAGGACACAATACATCGGGATCGCCGCTAGTGTTGCTGCTGTTAGTGTTGCTGCTGTTAGTGTTGCTGCTGTTAGTGTTGCTGCTGTTAGTGTTGCTGCTGTTAGTGTTGCTGCTGTTAGTGTTGCTGCTGTTAGTGTTGCTGCTGTTAGTGTTGCTGCTGTTAGTGTTGCTGCTGTTAGTGTTGCTGCTGTTAGTGTTGCTGCTGTTAGTGTTGCTGCTGTTAGTGTTGCTGTTGTTAGTGTTGCTGCTGTTAGTGTTGCTGCTGTTAGTGTTGCTGCTGCTAGTGTTGCTGCTGCTAGTGTTGCTGCTGCTAGTGTTGTTGCTGCTAGTGTTGTTGCTGCTAGTGTTGCTGCTAGTGTTGATGCTGCTGGTGTTGCTGCTAGTGGTGCTACCCCGGCCGTGGAAGTTGTGCTGCCGCCGCAGGGCCGTGGCCGCGGGGCAGCGAGCCAGCGTGGAGGCCGAGGACCCCGACGAGGCGCTAATGCAGTCATGAGAGGAGGCAGCTGACGGCCTCGGTGGCCTCGGAGGGGGAAGAGGACGCGGCGGCAGGGCAGGTTGATCTGCCGGATGAGCCGGGATCATTTCTCTCAAGCTCCTTTTTTTCGAAATTCTTGGTGCTGACTTTTCTGCACGTTCTCTCTCTCTCTCTCTCTCTCTCTCTCTCTCTCTCTCTCTCTCTCTCTCTCTCTCTCTCTCTCTCTCTCTCTCTCTCTCTCTCTCTCTGCCTGTCTTCGGGTGTTTGCACGACGGCCTGCCAGCAATGGGCTTGCCAATGAAATACGCCCCGCCGCCTTGCCGTCGGCGTTACCTCGGACCTGGGAGGCAGGCGGCCCTGGCGGCCCTGGCGGCTCTGACCGTGGCAGCCGAGGTCCAGATAAACGCGGGAATAAAGATGAGACACGAGATAGGGAGAGAGAGAGAGTCGGGCTGATGAAAAGAAAGGCACAAGGCGCTGACATCTAGATACAGCGCGCCGAATGGCAAATAGCGAAGGCGGAGCGGCGTAGCGGCCGCCTTCATCCCGGGACGCTTTTAATCAGGGACACGGCAAACAGTGGACCGACCAATGGGCGCGGCGCCCGGCTCGGACCTTGCTTCTTCTCGTCCCTCGGGCTGAGGCCTCGCTCGCGAGACTCTCGCCGGCTTCTGCCTGACTGCCCGACTGAACCGTCGCTCATTCGAAGGGAGGGTCGAGTGTGTCCAAGGTGTGCAGTTGGATTACGCAATCGAGGCTGCCATGGTCAGACTGACGTGGCACACACACACACACTTACACACACACAGAGCCGCAACCGAAAATACTTTTTCATACCCCTCATTCCACAACAAGAGGCCTCTTCCCATTCCGACAGGCAGTCCGTCGTCGGTTTACGTCGTTTTTTTCCTACTTTCTTTTCCCTTTTTTTCATTTTGACTGAATTATTTCAAGGGGCCTGCCTGGCTCCGCAGCAGCCCTTGCGGAATTACCTCCCACGCCCCGACTTTAATTGGTACGCCGAGGCGGGGAGGGGTGGGGCGGGGCGGCCCCCCGCGCGAGAGTATTGCCTAACCCGCCTTAATTGTAGCCTGACGCGAGGCTAGAACATCCTTAATCGTCGCCAAGGCGTGCCGAGGCGTGGCGCAGCGGCGCAGATCGCGCGCCGTGCTCTGCAATTTGTTTAACGGCGCTGCGACACGGCGAAGCGGAGCGCTCGGCTCGCGTCCCGCAGTGTGCCTCCGTCTCTCTCGCGCTCACGTGGCGTCCCTTATAGGTGCAAGAGAGACACGCGGCGACGGCAGCGACTCTCGGAATCAGTGTGCCGGAGCGGAGCCACTGGAGGCACGGGGCTGCGTCCGCTGCGTCCGCTGTGACGGGGACGCGGCCGGGCCGCGTGTTTTCGAAGCCGTCCGGGTCGCCGTCACGACTGCAATGAGGTTGGCAAGGAGGACGACGGGTCGGGGAAGGGGGGGGGAGCGCGCGCTTATTACTTTGAAAGATTCCCGTAAACTGCGCGCGCGGGGGTGGGGGAGGGGGTGGGGGGTAATTACCCGACTCGGCCAGGAGCCTCGCTAGCGTGGCATTGAGGAGGGTCCACCTGGCGACCCGCGCCGCCCCGCAATGCCCGTTATCTTATCTCAGGCTCGTTACACTTAACCTGACCCGGCTCAGGTTATGTTTTCAGCGAGGCGCTGGCTGTGCGCTGCTGCGCGCTGCTGTGCACCGCTCTGGCTGTTTTGAGGGGCGGCTGGTGGCTCGGGCGAGTGTTGCCAGCACTCCTGGCCCGAGCGCAGCGCTCCTAGTTTTCAGCCGGAGAGTAAACCGTTGCATTCGCTTTTTATTCTGCGACTCGTTTCGTTCTTTTCTCTCTGTCGCTCTTCCCGCCCCGTCTACTGGCGCGTTTTAATCTCCAAGTAAATGAGTGGTCATGGAAGAGACACAGCGCGCCTCGCCGTGGGCACGGCGGCCCCTCTCGGTGGCAGGAGAGGCATTCGCCCGCATTCGCCCCGCCGAAATGAAAAGTGCGTCGTTTAGCAGCGAGTGCACGCCGCCTACTTTTAAAGCGCAAAGCGCCCCTCGGCTCGCTGGGGCTGCGGGGCCGCTGGGGTGCAGCGCCTTTTTTCGCCGCCCCGCCCGCCAAACTGCGGCCCAAGGTGTGGCGCGGCCACCGCACAGTGGGTCAGAAGACCGGGGGAGGCGGCCAAAACTCCCGACGCGTTTTGAGCTCCAGAGTCGCTAAATGTGACTCGAACGGAACGTGTGACCCCACCAAGGATTGCTCTCCGAACTAGGAATCCATTGGTGGGGTCACACGTTCGGTTCGAGTCCCATTTAGGGACTCTGGAGCTTAAAACGCGTCTAGAGTTTTGTCCGCCTCCACCGGTCCTCTGGCCCACTGTGCACCGGGGCGGGGCGGGGCCGGGCCTCGCGGATAGCATGTAAACGGAGGGGGCCGAAGGGGTGCAGGACGTGCTAACGGGGAGAGTCTTGGAGGGCCGCGGGGGGCGCGGCGCCAAGGTGCCCCTCGCTCCCCGGAAGGCGTCGGTGGCCCCCTCGCGGCGGGGCGGCCGGTCCGACCTCGATATCGGGGGCGTAATATTGTGCGTGTACCTCAGGTATAACGGTTATGTGCGCTGCGTGTAACTGAAGGCAAAACGCCTCGTTCTACCTCTCGCCGCCTCGAGGCAGTCCGGCAGCCAGGCGGCCAGCCAGGCGGGCACCAGGCGGGCAGGCCAAGGAGCGCGAGGAAAAGAGACGGCGATCGCTGTGCGGGGGCCTCGAGGATTATAATCATTGAGAAACGGCGGCAGTGCCTTGTAGCTCACGGCGCCCACCCCTTCCTTGCTGCCCGCGGGCTGCCTGGCTGCCTGCCTGGCTGGCTGGCTGGCTGCCTGGCTGGCGGCCGGGCCTTCGCCTCTCGGGGGCACAATTACGCCTTAAGATTGCCAGATGGCGCGCGGAGCGGAGAGAGATTTCCTCCGGCGGCGCGATACGTCACGCGTCATGCGACCGAGGAATGTGTGCGTGCGGCGCGGCGACCCGGACGGAGGCGGCGCACAGTGGGCCAGACGACCGGTGGGTGCGGTCAAAATTCTAGACGCGTTTCGAGCTGCAGAGTCGCTGAATGGGATTCGAACCGAACGTATGACGCCACCTCCGAGAGAGGAATCCATTGGTGGGGTCACACGTTCCGTTCGAGGCCTGTTTAGCGACTCTGGAGCCCAAAGTGCGTCTGGAGTTTTGTCCACCTCCCCCACTGTGTGGCGCTCGCGGCGCACGGACCGCTCGTGTTTTTGCCGGCCTTCCAGGGGGTCGCTCGCTCGGGGCTGGGCTTTGCTGCCGTGGTTTTTGCCGGAGGTGTGCCTCCCCGCCGGGAATGGCCTACTTATTCCGATCGCCCTCTTTACGTGTCTGTGTGTGTGTGTGTCTGCCACCTGTCTGTGCGTTGACGGCGTGTCCTTCTGCTTGCAGCCCGATGCAGGCCGTGCCGCCGCCGCCCCTCGCCAGTCCGTGATGGGGCGCCACGGCCCCCGCGGCGGCCTGATGCCACCGCTGCCACCGCTGCCACCGCTGCCGCCGCTGCTGCTGCCCGTCGTCGCGGTGCTCGTGGCGGTGCTGGCGGGGCCGGCGCTGTCCGCGCGGCAAGAAGGTGAGTCCAGCGAGGTCGACGCCGAGGGGGCGGGGTGATTGGTCAAGGCTTTTAAAGAGCCCCCTGGCCCGGGCTGCCGCGGCCTCGGCCCGGGCGGTTCAAAGAGCAGCCGGAACAAAAGAAGGGATACAGCGGATGAGCGCCGAGGCCCCGGCGAGGCCCTGCAGGGGCACAAGGTGATTGGTGCGGATCGGCCGAGGCCGGTGGGTTTTTCCGGCGGGCTACAAAGGCGCGGCCGGGCCGCTGGGCCCCCGATATTGGGTTATATTGCGAATTTTGTTTATTTTCCATCAGCTCGGCATTAGGACGAAACAATCGAGCTTTCGCGGCAGTCGGCGGGGCGGGGCGGCCTCGCCTTCCCGGCCTGGAGGACGGCGGCAAGCCCTGGAGGCTCCAGGCCGCGGGCCCGTGAGGCGTATTGCAGTGGATCGGCGGGGATCTGCAGCGTCAAAGGCGCCAAAGCCGCGGCGGCCCCGGCGGCCCCGGCACCGCAATCAACCGCACTCGCCATTTTTTGGCTGCGACCTGGAGGGCTCCGGAACCGAAAGCGAAACACTCCCGTCAGGCTGGGGAACCTGGAAAGAAAATGAAAGAGAAATACGGGGCCCGTTTGATTCCTGCCTGGGCCTCGTAGAATTCGACCTCGTAGTTGGTCCTGTTTTATTTTCTTGAATAAGGATGTGGAAACTTGAAAATGTCGGGCTTGAAGGTTGTAAAAATAGTCGCCGTCCTGGAGAACGCTGGCGAAAACTATGGGAGTCCTTTTTTGATACGAGAATGAGGTTGTTCCGCGGGTGCCGCTAGCTTGTAGCTCGGACAGCTCCCTTAGATTACGGCGCCGTGAAATACGTGGAAATATCGTGTGTGGCGCGCGGCGTTGCGTTTCCAGAAGAAAAAGGGAGCGAGGGAGCTTTTTAATCTGAAGGCAAATTTGTATTTGTCGCTCGTCAGATAGGCGTTGCCGGTTTTACTTGTAGCATTTCGCCTCGGGGTGAGGAGTGGCGCAGAGCTGAGTTACCGCGGTGGAAGGCTGCAGCCACACACACAGAAGGGACAGACAGACAGACAGGCAGACAGACAGACAGACAGACGCCGCACACGTGGCGTCCATATAGTTCACATGCGAAGAGGATAGCAGATCTATGCGGCGGGGCAGTAGGTTCTGCGAACGCGGCGGCGTCGACATTCGCCCTCCTTTTCTTTTTTCTGTCTCCCTCTCCTTTCTTTTTTCTGCTTCCCGCCCAGAGCTTGTGCCGCTGCATACTGCATTCATATGCCTCTCCCTTTCTTCTCCGGCAGCCAGCCAGGCTGGCAGGCAGGCAGGCATAAAAAAAAGAAGTCTACCGGAAAGGGGACCGGATAGAGAATCGTCTGCGCGAGCCCAACCACTCGGAAGGCAGGAGACGGGGCGGCGCGGCCCGGGAGGTCCTCGAGGCGATTGGGAGGCGTAGTCCGCGGCCGCCTCCTGCAGCTTGTTTGATGCTCTCTCTCTCTCTCTCTCTCTCTCTCTCTCTCTCTCTCTCTCTCTCTCTCTCTCTCTCTCTCTCTCTCTCTCTCTCTCTCTCTCTCTCTCTCTCTCTCCCTCTCTCCCTCTCCCTCTCTCTCTCGAAGTTGGCGGCGAGCGCGTCGCGGTGCGACACGTATCGGATAGTAGGTCGGCCGTTTTCGGCCGCGGGCCATTAGTGAGATTTAAGTCGGCGCGCTCTGTCTCTCTCGCTCCCTCGCCGGTACCGCGGCCCGCCCACGGGTACGAGAGAGACAGAGCCACTGCCCGGTGCTAATGAGGCTGCTAATCACGACTCGGCAGGTTGTCGCGTCTGGGCGCGCCGAGCCTAGCCAAGCCGGGCTATGCAAATGCCGAGATGGGTATCTTTCAGTTCTGGAGCGCGGCCCGCCCGACTGTCTGTGTGTCTGTGTGTCTGTCTGTCTGTCTGTCTGTCCGTCCGTCTGTCTGTCCGTCTGTGCAACGGCGGAGGGGTCTTGGGAGGGGTAGGGAATGTAACGGCGCCGCCCGGAAAGGCCTGGGGGCTGTTTGGAGTGGGTAGGGAGGGTCCTGGAATGGTCCTGGGGACGCAGGACGCACCACTCGCCCCTCTCGGGTAACTCGTGCCGGTACCCGGGAATCGATCTACGCAGCAAGGCGTAGGGTAGGGCCCCACGGCCCCACGCCGACGACCGCACGGAGGACTTCCCCGCCACGGACCATTCTGATGGCCCCCTGGAGCTCGGTTCGGGTGGACAAGTTTTCAGCTCTTCGGTCCACTGGAAGGACTCGACATAGTCAGACCGTCATACCCCGTTCACAGTTCGGTAGCACCACGAGGTGGATTCGATTCCTTCATAGGAGTTTGGCCAGACTTGCACGCAGCGCCGCGCGCCTGCGAGATAGGCCAGCTCGGCGGCCGGCGAGCAGCCCTGCGCTCGCGTTGCCTACCCGCACGGCGCTCCATTGCCATTACCACTACGGGCTAGACCCCATGGCTTCCACGCCTGGCTTCCAAAAATCCAAAAGCCTATCGCAGAGCGCAGGCCCTCGCGCGTGGAAGTTCTCAAGACCTTAGTCTTTGACGCCCTGCCTCGGACATGCGACTTGCAATTGGGGCCCGCTAAAATGGCCACAATGTGAAAATTGTGTCTTGGGCTGAACTGGGCCGCCGCTGCGTCCGAACGCCAGGCCAGGCACGCCGTGCTGATGAGCGCGGCGGAGGCCGTGCTGGCCAGGCCGTGGAACGCCTGCATTATTCAGTGCCTCGGCGCCTTGGCGGGGCGGGGCGGGTGACACGAAATCCCGGTGCATGTCGCGCGCTGTCCGGCCCGGCCCCTCGGCCTTTGGGGCCCGGCCTGGCCCTGGCCGTGGGGCTGGCCGAGGCCGGTCGCTGTGGGCGGCGGGCCCTTTGACTGCAGCCGAACGGATCGCTGCCGTGGAGGCGGCCCTGCGGCCCTGCGGCCTTGGTCAAGCTTAGCTCTTCTCTCATCGCGGCGAAGGGCTCGGCCTCGGCCCTTCGGCCTTCGGCGGGGAGCCTCTTTGGCCGTAATGCCTTTGATGAAGCGTCTGGCTAGTTACGGGCCGCCCCGGGCGCCGCCGCGGGCGCGCTCCGATAGCCACCCGGCCTCGCCCGGCCTCGCCGGGATCAGCTGACCGCAGAGCGGACGGGCGCGAGCGGGGCGCATCGAGCCTGTACATCGCCGGCCTGAAGGCGGCCATGGTGCCCACGGGCCGACAGGCCGACAGGCTGGCCTTGGACCGTGGGCGTCGGTAAGCTCGCCCCAAGCTTTCACTAATATTCACGCCCCCCCCCCCCCCCCCGACTCCCTCTCTCCCTCCCTCCCTCCCCATCCCTCCCTCTCCGAAGCGCCGCAGAGCCGCACGCAGGTAAACATGATCCCAGTTTGCTTTTTTAATTCTTTCCTTTTTTTGCGAGCATTTTCTCGCGCTTATCTCCCCCGTCGCTGCTTCTTTTTTCACCTTTCCCTTGGTTTTTTTTCGGCCGGCGTTCCTCGCGCCGCCGGCCGCACTCGCGTGAGGTCACTTTAGTCAGGTTAGCCCCATTTAGTTTGTTTTTCTTTATCCGATGTATTTCGCACAACACGCGCGCGCCGGCGGGGTCGGTGAGTCCACTAAGCCGGTCGCGTGACCGGTTTTCGCTTTCCCCCCTTTTCTGTACTTTGTTTTTGTTTTTCTTCGCCGCGCCGCGCTGCGCCGCCACGCCGGCGGTGTCCACGGGGATGAAGATGCGCGCTGGTCGAGGAGGAGGCCGTGATCCACTATGACGGCCGGGGTCGGTCGGCCCGACGGCCTCGGCGCCGAGGTCGGGGGTCGGGGTGCTGGCTGGTGGCGCATGCGCGGACAAAGGGCATTCCAAATTCCCCGAGAAATTGCCTCAGCACTTTGAGCGGCACGGCAAGGCACGGCACGGCAAGTGAAGGCGAATAAATGAATTCCTGCGGGCGGCGGGGCGGGCCTCGTTGGAGATTGAGATTGAAAGGAGAGGCGCATTGGGGGCGCAGCGGCAGCTCGAAGCGCTGCGGTGCAGCGAGTCGTCCTCGAAGGCAGCAGTACGGCGCAGCACAGCGCTGCAGCGGCCTCGTGTACACAGCGTGCCAACCGAAAGAACAGCTCTCGGAGAGCTCTCCGCTGCAGAGCGGCGCGGGGCACTGTGGGGCTGCGGCGCCATCTAGCGGACAAGGCTGCAAGCACCATCCAATCGGGCCGGTACTTGTGTACTTGTGTGCCGCCGTATTGGAGGGGCTGCGTTTGTTCTCCTTGCTTATTTCGTGCAGCCAGCAGCGCAGCGGCGCGCCCGTCGGGTTGCGGGCCGGAGTGCCTCGCGGAGGGAGGGCGATGTAAAAAGGGTTGGGCAGGCAGCTGGTGGCCCCGCCCCGCCCCGCCGCAACCCGTCTCGATACCAAGTGGCTGGATCCTTGCCCAGGGCCCAGGGCGGCTGGTGGTGCGGCGGGTAGCCGTTTTTGCGACGTCTCCTCGTTGAAGTTTGCAAGTTGGACAGCGGCGACGTCGCCGGGGACAGGGTCGTCGCCACACCGCGAGAGGACGCCGCGGAAATCCTTGACGCCCTGCCCGGCGGGCCGTGGCAGGCTGGCGGAGAAAGACCCGACAGGACGACGTTGCCGACGACGCGTTTTCAATTATTTCGCCCTGCGTGACTATTGCATGCCAGCTCTCTGGCCTCATCGACGTGGAGCAGTGTAGGTGACGTCATAAACCGGGCAGACCACGCGGCGGCGCGGCGGCCAAACAACCCTGCGGCCCGGCGGCTCCTCGCCGGCGGCAGCCCGTTAGGGGCCGTCCGCGTATTACGTAGACATTCACTCCGTCCTTGTTGATCGTGGACTGCCAGCGAGTGCGCATAGAGACAGAAAGCGTTTCGTGAATGAACCCTCAGCGTGGTGCACGCCGTCCAGGCGATGGTGCCGCCTGCCGCGCTGCCGCTGCCCTGGATGGACAGGCCGGCCTGGTGGACGGGCGGATCGAACATAACGTC